AGCTCGTAGTCACGCTGAGCGGCAACGTGTAGCAGCACCCGAAGAGTGGTCATCTTCGGGGTAGGGGAGAAGGTCTGGAAGAAGTCAACTCCCTGACGCTGACTAAAGCCTCGTGCAACGTAACGAGCCTTGTAGACAGGCGGAGAACCCGGCGGCCGCTTCAACCTGATAATCCACATGCCATCGACTATGTTCGCCCCAGGAGGGGGAACTGCGTCGACGTAAGTGCCTGTGGACTTCCAAGATGCCATCTCTGCGTCCATGGCTATCTGCCACTAAGAGGTGTAGGGACTCAAAATTGCCTCTGCGTAAGAGTGCGTGGTCGGGATGTCCAGTGCATCCGGGTCTCCCTCAGGTGCAAGCAGCATGGCCACGAGATGAGGTACAGCGGCTGCAAGACACTCAAAGTCCTCCTGCCTGTCCTCAAGGACGTCCATGCCAAGAGCACACTCACCCCCGACAGACAGAGGACTGACAGACTCAGACTCAGCAACAAGACTAGCGGCGTAGTCGAGACGACAAGCAGCAGCAAAGTCAACAAGCTCAGCGACTAAGGCAGACGTAGCAGCGGACTCAAACAAAGTGTCAGTGACAACAGTGGTAAGGAGATGTGTGACAGTAGGGCTGGCAGCACGAACCAGGTCAGACTCAGGGTCCGGAACGTGCGGAAGAGAGGACGCAGGAGGAGACGGCAGGGGAACACGCTGTGGAACAGAGGAAGGACGAAGTGTCATGGTGTGAGTGTCAGGGACAGCAGGAGGACGCTGACGAGGAACACGACGACCAGTGCGAACAGCGCGAATAGGCAAGGCAAGACGAGCCACAGTCTCACGACGCTCTGTAAGCGAGTCTGTCTTTGTGAGGAGAAGGAGCAGGCAGTGGGGAGCCTGGCTGTAACGGGAGGCCAGTAGAAGACGGGAGGCTAAGAACCTGGCGAAGCACGGAGTCAGGTGGTGGCAGAGACGACGGTGACGGCGGAGTGAAGAATAGTCGTGGCTGTGCAGTACCACCTGCTCCAGCTCCTCCGGCACCAGCACCTCTAGTACTAGTACCAGGAGCTCCAGGGCCTCCAGCAGCTCCAGCACCTCCAGCTCCCGAGTCACCAGCTCCAGCTCCTCCCGCGCCGGTGCCTCCAGCTCCAGCACCAGCAGCACCACCAGTTGCGGCAGCTCCTGTACCTCCAGTGTGAGCACCTCCGGGACCAGCATTGCCAGGACCACCAGCACCTCCAGCACCAGGAGCACTACCGGCTCCGGCAACTCCAGTACCTCCAGTACGAGCACCTCCAGGAACAGCAGCTCCAGCTCCTCCGATACCTCCAGCTCCAGCGTCTCCAGCCGCAGTGCCTCCAGCTCCAGCAGCGCCACTCCAAAGGCGGCTGCGCTGAGTGTACCACTCTAGTAGCTGTTGTGGTGAGAGTGTCAGAGGTCCACTGGTGATCCCCGATTGATCCTAGGGAAGGGTTACAGGCACGTTGGCCTGGGGGGTTATGGGCGCACTCACCTGCTACACAAACAAGCCCTTTTATCCCAGTGGTTAGTGGCTGGGATTCTGACATGGTATCAGAGCAAAGGTCTCGGGTTCAAACCCCGGTGTGTGCACCTCGGGCATCCCAGTGCGAGTGGGGGGTTGTCAGAGGTCAACTGGTGATCCCCGATTGATCCTAGTGAAGGGTTACAGGCACGTTGGCCTAGGGGGTTATGGGCGCACTCACCCGCTACACAAACAAGCCCTTTTTATCCCTGTAGTTAGTGGCTGGGATTCTAATAGAGAGAGCACCTCCAGAACGTCCAGTACGAGCACCTCCGAGACCAGCAGTGCCAGCACCACCAGTCCGGCAGCACCACCAGCTCTGACAGCTCCAGTACCTCCAGTACGAGCACCTCCAGGACTAGCAGCTTTAGCTCCTCTTGTACCTCCAGCGCCAGCGTCTCCAGCTCCAGTGCCTCCAGCTCCAGGGCCACCAACCCCAGCGCTTCCAGCTCCAGCACCCCCAGTACCTCCAGTACCAGCAGTACCTCCAGCACCTCCAGGACTAGCAACCCTAGGGCCTCCAGCTCCAACAGCGCTACTTCGAAGGCGGGTGCGTCGAGTGTACCACTCGCGAAGCTGCTGCGGTGAGAGAGGCTCCTGTAGTGTAGAAGTAGTACCCCTAGGCTCAGTACCCCCAGACTCACCACCTCCAGGCTCCACACCCGCAAGCTCTGTTATAGTCACAATATGCTTCAATGTGACTAGAACAAAAGATAGAGTGCACGGTCGGATTTCTGCACAGCAGCTTTAAACGTTCACATCGATCTGGTCACAGCTCCAAATGACCTGATTCAACTTGGATCTGGAGCGTCTTAACGTCCTCTATAATAGGCAATTTAGAACAGCACCATACAGAACGAACAGCGTCGGTTTGAACGAACGGCACTATGGCAGCAACATAGTCTTAGAACACAAAAATGGAAGAGCTAGGAATAGTTACGAGTTGGGAATGACTCCCAGCTCCTACAAACCCCAAGAGCCGAGGTACAGTGATGGGGAACAGTGCCACACTGTCCCCAACCAAAAAGGGTCTCGAAACTACCATCCACAGGGCCTACACCAAGTGAAATGTTACACTACACAAAGTAATGTAACTATCTTCAATATCTTGAAGTATATTCTTTTGTGGAGCTTCAAAATCACCTGAAGCTTGAAACCAAGGCTCGGGTTCTTCATCACAAACTCATCCTTGAGTTCTTGATGGGTCTGCTGCACACATCTGCGACACGCCGAACGTTCGACACAGGACAAAATAGAAATTGCGCGAGACACACAAACAACGAAATAGAAACCGCGCGGGACACACAAAATGACCGCGTTGCACGCGACTAGCGATAACTCGCTATTGACTCGACACACACACTCGACATCATGACTCATCATGCATACACTATTGTATGCATGAAATATATATTATTTCATGCCCCCGTACCATTCCATGCACACGCGCATGCACGCATACGGACAACAAGCCGAGTGCAAACCGTAGGGTTGCACCAACAGCCTCAGCACCCTCAGGCTCCGCACGCTCAGGCTCAGCACCCCCAGGCTCCGCACGCTCACGAGCAGCACCCCCGGGCTCCACACTCGCAGGCTCAGCACCCCCAGGCTCCGCACGCTCAGGCTCCGCACCCGCAAGGCTCAGCACCTCCGGACGCAGCACCCCGAGCAGCACCAGAGTCACCAGTGACCTCGACAGGCTCAGTGTACTAGTGACCTCGACGCGGGCCAGGGCAGGGCATGCGTGGGGCAGCGCTACGCGGGGCAGGGCAGAGCATGCACGGGCAGCGCGACGCAGGGCATGGCAGAGCGTGCGCGGGCAGCGCGATGCAGGGCAGGGCGTGCGCGGGGCTGCGCGACGCGAGGCAGGGCAGGGCGTGCGAAGGGCGGCGCGACGCGGGGCAGGGCAGGGCGTGCGCGGGGCAGCGCGACGCGGGGCAGGGCGTGCGTGGGCAGCGCGACGCAGGGCAGGGCATACGCGTTGCGGCGCGACGCGGGGCAGGGCAGGGCGTGCGCGGGGCGGCGCGACGCAGGGCAGGGCAGGGCGTGCGCGGGAGCACGGTAACTGCAATCGGTCACTAGCTAATGGTGGGCCCGGAAAAAAATAAAAACGGTCGTACAGACCTACTGCTCTGATACCATGTCATAATAGTAAGCGAGAACGTATGCATTGATCGAAAAAGTGGGTACAAATGCTAACCCTAATTTGGGTTGTACCCCTTTTGGGTTACCCTACTACAGCCTACACAGCACAAGCACCAATATAGTTTGACACCCGCGTGTACGAAATTCGTGCAAGCTGTGCATAAGAAGCGTCAGTTTTTGTATCGGATGCGATTGGTGTGTTAGAACTCGTGTTAGACACAAATGACGTGTCGAAATTCGGATTCTGTGCCTCCATACTGTATGGAAGGTGTGCTTAGCGAGGGAAGTGGTGGGGGGGACTGTAATAGGGGCGCGCTCGGGTGGGGTATGGCGAGCTAGGTAGGGGAGGCGGGGCGGAAGCAAACGTCCTAACCTAACAATGATACAATGTCAGAATGAAGAGGAACGAAATGCATTAGGGAAGAACATATACCATATGACCCCTGATATAGGCGACGTCCCATTAAAGGCGCCGGCGCTTATATCTGGAGCATGGCGCTTATGGCCGCTCCTCAATTATAGGCTCCCCCCTAGAAAACCTTTACTTATTATAAGCGCACGTGTAATTTTAATTTGAATCATTGCATTGCTTAAAACGGTATCGAAATTCATTTTTTCAGCGAGTCAGACTTCAGCTTTGCTTCGTTTGACTCGCGAAAGACCTGACTGGCTGCGCGTCCAGTCAGGATGTGCTGACATGACGTGTCTTAGCCTGTGTGTGCATCCAGAATATCGCTTGCGCGAGATTCTGCTCTGTGACGCTAAAACATTTCGACTCGGTTGACATGGCAAGAAGAAAATGAACAATTTGGTGCTGTAAATATATAATTTCGTATTTGTCATTATATAAGCGCCGACGCGTATGGCCGTTACTCAATTACAAGCGCCCCCCCTCAAAAAAATGATTTTATTATAAGCGCATATGCGCCTATATCCGGGGCCATACGGTACAATAGGCTACGGCATATGCTATCTCATACCCTCTATGGTGCCAACCTAGCTGGCATATAAGTTCACATACGGAATGCATATGCATACTTTGAGATGGTGATACCAATCTCAATGAGGAGAAGAATTCTCTTCACACATTAACAGTTATGGAAAAATCCTGTTTTCTTCCTAGTATAGGGATAGATCAGTTATAACCTTACCCTGGGATGCAGCATCGTGTTCCAGTGATGAAGTATCGCGTTCTTGCAACTCAGTATCGCGTTCTGGCGACTCAATATCGCGTTCTGGCGACGTAGCATTCCGAACCCTCCGAATCAAGCATTGGTCGTAACTGAATTATTGTTTTACACAACGTACGGTGATTGGAGAATATGGCGTCGTCCACAGTCGTAGAAAGTTCTGACATTGTCGCTTGGAACAGAATTGGTCGCCTGAAATACCCTCCCTCAAGCATGTTCTCGCCACCCGTATTTCACGCCCCGCCAGCCACTCCTCCAGTGCACCCTAGTCGACTGCATAGAACTAGTCAGCCAATAGCGATGCGGCTATGCGAGAAGTCGCGTACCCGCAAAAAGCGGCATTGTCCAATAATCAACGTCGACTCATCCGCCTTGGGGCCGTTTGCAAATGACTGAACGGGACTCGTTCACACTCCCTTCACCCTCCGTTCTCCTCCCCCACCCCTTTCGGCATATAATGCCGCCAGTGGCGGCGATGGGCGCTTACAAATATCCTCATTCCCTTCGTTCACCGTTTCTCTCCATTCCACACGAATTTCCCCTTTTCTCGATCTCCCCTCACGCATCGCCGCTTCGTGCGTCGCTTCGCGCCGTATCCATTCAAGCGAGCCAGCGCGCCAGCAGCAGGCCGCTCCGAGTCGAAGCCGCCGTGACTGCTGCCGCAGTCCAGCATCGGCGCTAGTAACCTAGCGTGGGCCGCATCTGACGGAGTCACCACGCTGCGGCGCGTAGCCTCACCGTCCCCTCGCCAATCGTCCCATCATCGCTCGTCGCCGCCGCGATATCATCATGCCGTCGCGTTCTACCGTGCAAGCTGGCGTCGCCGCAGTCGTCGCCGGCGTCGTCGCTCTCTCGCTCGTCGCAGGCACCAGCGCTTACACTGCGTACGACACGGTGCTGACATTTAAAGCCCCGATGATCGATGGAAAGTGGGGTTTCATCGACTCCGTGTGCTTCGACGTTTCGCCAAACTTGTTCCCCGACGGGAGTGACGTCAGCATCGTGTGGGGCGGCAAGACGCCGTTCTATCGCGAGTGCAACAGCGTCTCCTTCCACTCCGTCCCGGGCTGCGCCGGCACCCCCAAGGCCACGTACCTGCGGCCTGCGAACAGTGCTCCCACTTCGTGGTGAGCTGAGCTGCCATGATCTCTTGTTGTTGCACAATGACCTCTTGTTCTCTTCTACGCCGTTTAGACACTGTTGGTTCATTCGGTTCTGTTGATTCATTCGGTTCTATTGATTCAATCGTTTCTGTTGATTCGTTCGGTTTTGTTTATTCCCTGTGCTCCCCTCTGCCCCCTTTTGCTCCCCTGTGCTCCCCTCTGCTCCCCTGCCGCCCTTATGCCCTCACTGCTGCTGCTCACAGGGCGCTCCCCGTCGCAGACTTCCCGCGGTCAGTGAAATGCGAGACGGGTAAGCATGCACACCTGGCCCCGCACCCTCTTCCAGGGTGTGACGCACTTGCCCCTCTGATAAGGGCAATCCGATGTGGTGCGGTGCAGTCCGGTGTGGTGTGGTGTGGTGTATGGTGGAGTGCAATATGTAGCTAGAAGGCCGATGCTGAGGTGCATGGCACATGGCGTGTGTCACACACACGCCTTCTCATGCATCAGCCGCCACGTCATTCTTGTGCTGTGTGCCAATCATTCGCCTTCTCTACTGCGCGCACGCTATCATGTTATGCCATGCCTCTCACTGTCAACCATCTCGCTCACTGTGATTTGAACCATGAACCTCACTGTGATTTGAACCATGAACCTCACTGTGATTTGAACCATGAACCTCACTGTGATTTGAACCATGAACCTCACTGTGATTTGAACCAGAACCTCACTGTGATTTGAACCATGAACCTCACTGTGATTTGAACCATGAACCTCACTGTGAATTGAACCTCACTGTGACCCTCATCTCCCTCCTCACTCCCTCTATCTCCCTCCTCCCTGCCTCCACAATCGCCCCATGCTTGTCCCCAAGGCTGCGGGGCGGACAATGTGGACTGTGGGGTGGAGGCCAAGTGCAGGATGATTGACAGCAAGGCTGCGTGTGTGTGCACTGGGGCTCTAGTCTTCGACGCCACTGCCAAGCAGTGCCGCGGTGAGTGGCGCTTGATTCGTCAGTGTGGGTGTGTCGTAAGGGACGCAAGTTGGGATGTGGGTGCGGATGCCGCGTCAGTCCATGGCAGTGCGTATGCCCTGGAGACGCCCCTTTCAGTGCCGCTGGGACCAGCCAACGCCACTCAGCAGTCATTCATGCCTCACAACCATTTCTTCTCTTGCGTTTCTTTCTTAAGCTCATTCCTTCACCTCATCGCTCTGCTGCTCGAGTCTCTAAGGGATTGAATCGTGCCTGCCTCTGCCTCCCATGCGAGGCAGGGGCCTTTTGCATCGTGTGTACGAGTGGGAGAGCCCCCGTGCTTCCCATGCTTCATGTACGAGTGGGAGAGCCCTCATGCGCTCCAATCTAGCGCACTCGCCCAACCAATCTTGCTTCCCTCGTTCCTTGCTCGTGCCTGCCGTGCTGTGAGCAGCGCCCCCACCCTCCTGTGCCACCATTGTGTGTCCGACCAACTCCACCTGCAATGCCACTGCCGACCCGCCCTGCATCTGCAATGAAGGGTTTGAGATGACAAACGGCCAGTGTGTTGGTGAGACTCGTCTTTCTCACCCACTTTCTCAACTCCTCTTTCTTCTCTCTCTTCCCTCTGACTCTTGCTGCTCACCCTCTTGCCTCACCCGCTTTCCTCTCACCCTCTTACCGCTCACACTTGCTTCCCTCGTCCCTTGCTCGCCTTTTCCCTGCTGTCTGCAGCGCCCCCACCCTCTTGTGCCACCATTGTGTGTCCGACCAACTCCACCTGCAATGCCACTGCCGACCCGCCCTGCATCTGCAATAAGGGGCTTACAATGACAGACGGCCAGTGCGTTGGTGAGCCTCCTCCTTCTCACCCTCCTTCTCTCCCCCTTCCTTCTCACCCTCTTTTTTCTATTCCTCTTCCTTCTCCTCCTTTTTACCCTCTTGCCTATCGTCCTCTTTTTTCTCGCCCTCTTGCCTCTCTCTCTTCTCAACCTCTTGCCTCTACTCTTCCTTGTGTCTCTCTTGTTGCTCATGCTTTTCACCCTCGTCCTTCTGGCTCACTTGCCTCTTACTCTTCCCTCATTTCGTATGTGTGGGTGAGACCCCATGCGCCTGCAATCTAAAGCACTGACCCACCCAACCCTGCTTCCCTCGCACCTTGCTCGTCCCTGCCCTGCTGTGTGCAGCGCCCCCACCCTCCTGTGCCACCATTGTGTGTCCGACCAACTCCACCTGCAATGCCACTGCCGACCCGCCCTGCATCTGCAATAAGGGGCTCACCATGACAGACGGCCAGTGCCTTGGTGAGCCTCCTCCTTCTCACCCTCCTCACTCTTTCCCTGCTCCCTCTTTCTCCGCCCCCACTTCCATCCCACCCTCTTCTTTCTCTCCTACACTGCACTTGCATTGTGTTTGGCCTTCTTCATCCATCCTTCGTAACTTGTGCTCCTTGTAATGTCCAGCGTGCATTTCGTGTGGCCCCTCCTTTGTGGCCCCTCTTACCCATTGGCAGCCGTGTGCAAGCGCGCCTGCGCTCGTAATGCTGAGTGTGCACTGGTGGGAAACAAGCCTGCTTGTCGCTGCAAGGCTGGATACGTGAGGAGGCGGAACAAGTGCATGCAATCACCCCCTCCAACGGGATATTACTACTAGGGTTCGGTGAAATGGGAAAACAGGGTGAGCTGCTTCTCATTCTCCCCAACCCCCTGCAGTTCACCACATGCCACGTCATGCCACCCTGGTTTGTCTCTCCCCATCCACCTTGAGCAAACATACCCAGCCCTTAATTCTGCTGAACCTTTATTTGATTTGTTCCTCCACTCTTTTCTGTTTGGTGCAGGAGTGGGAGAAGCACCAGCAAAGAGGCCAATAGGTGGGGTAGCAGCACCTCAAAGCTCGCCAAGCATCCTCAGTATCAAGGCACCACTGCTGCTGAAAGGGTTCTCCTCACACACGCTATCAAATTTCTGGATTCAAGTGGGTTTCCATTATGGGTACCGGAGTGGGCTTTTCTTTTTAGAGTGGGAGTCAGGACATCATGACTGTATTGTAATGTGCACATTGTTTGTATGTAGTCATGCAATTACTGATAATGGGCTTGTGCTTGCAATAATATTACCGTAGCAAGTGCAACTTGCGAAACTAGGCACCTACCAATGTTAGACATACAAAAACACATTCCTAACCATTCCACAAAGCCAACTAACAGGGCCATTGCAATGGCAATGCAGCATTCCTACCTATGTATCAGGCCCTCAGATATCAGCGTAAAACACGCTGATTAGGCTGATTTTGTAGCTGTGGTGTTCGTTTTCCCTGAAAATTCAGCATATGCTTCAATTTTGCACTGAAATTTCAGTATAATTTACGTACCTTGCAACACTGTCCATTTTGCATGTTGCTGTACAAGTAACACTGACGAATCAGTATAGTGGGGTGAGTCAAACTGAAACGGACTTGACCGAGCGCGCCGGGGGGGGGTCGAGAGGGTACCGTACGCTACGCCTGTACAGTACGTACCTTCGCTTGATTCACGAAACCCCATCCACACCGTTTTTTTTCCCATGCGCTGTACGGACAGCTGGTGCACGCCGAACGGTTTTGCCTCGCTAAAAACTATCACAACACAACAGCGTTGTTGTTTTTTTACACTGATGGTTCAGTATACTAAGGATTCTTACACTGACGAAATCAGTATAAACAAAACCATGAGCGCTGATTTGGACACGAGGTTGGCCGGGGCACACTGATCCATCAGCATACCCTCAAACCAATCTGAGGGCCTGCTATGTATCTCCGAGAAAAGCAATGTGGGACCATCTCAATAGTACGTGAACAAGAGCGTATTGAGGTTGTGCAGGAGAAGGCACGGCTTGACCATTTTGGGGTTGAGGCGCATGTATGCTGGCACCCAGCAGTACGGACCCCCGATGTTGAACTGCACAGTGATACACCACAGGCACAGACACACATACAGACACATGGACACACATGGACACATGTGCACACACATGCATATACATCCACACACGTGCACATACCGGTACATGCACACATGTGCACACATATGCACACACGTGCACAGACGTGCAGACACATGCACACACATGCACACACATGCACACGCATGTGCACACACGTGCACACACGTGCACACACGTGCACACACATGCACGCACATGCACGCACATGCACACACATGCACACACATGCACACACATGCACACACATGCACACACATGCACACATGCACACACATGCACACACATGCACACACATGCACACACATGCACACACACGTGCACACACGTGCACACATATGCATACACATGCACGCACATGCACGCACATGCACACACATGCACACACATGCACACACATGCACACATGCACACACATGCACACACATGCACACACATGCACACACATGCACACAAAAAACATAGCAACACCTTGCTTATCACACACACGCATCAAGCAAAGGAAATACAACCACACGCGGCACACCTCACAACCAGGCTTTTAGAGTTTGAGCAACATGGCAGAAAGGTGAGATGGCAATTGCCTTGCGTCAGATCAGATTGTGCCATCTGCCGAGCGTTCATTTCATTGGCATTGATCCAAATCTCACGCTGCACTTGCAAATCAAACAAACCCCCATTGCCACTTTTGATTTTCCATGCTCCAGTGAGAGGGTACGACGTAGTGAATGAGTATTGACAAAAACAGGCTGATTTTTTACAGCAGCAAGCCTAGGTTTATTTAGGCGACTCAAAGACAGTCAGGTGTTTGACAGCAATCTCGCATCAAGTTCAACACGTGCATGAATGCTTGTACTGAAAAGAAGGACGACATGAAGCTAAGAACATGGGGCGGTGAGCAGCATGATGGGTTGAGGAGAAGCACAATGGGGTGAGGAGAAGCACGATGGGTTGAGGAGAAGCACGATGGGGTGAGGAGAATCACCCACCAGATAGAGGATAAGCCCGAATGCTGACCCTGTTGCCACCGCTATTGGCGCTGGAGTCTGCACGGCATTGTGGTCTGAGCACTTAAGGTGACTTTTGAGTCTTCTCTGAATGTCGTTACAGCTATTGGTGTTGTAGTTTGCAGGAGACTGTAGCGGGGTGATATCAGTGAGCACATAGGGAAGCTGCCACTGTAGAGGGGGGATATCAGTGAGCACATAGGCAAGCTGTCACTGTAGAGGGGGGATATTAGTGAGCACATAGGCAAGATGTCACTGTAGAGGGGGAATATCAGTGAGCACACAGGCAAGCTGTCACTGTAGAGGGGGCATATCAATGAGCACATAGGCAAGCTGTCAATGTAGAGCGGGGATATTAGTGAGCACATAGGCAAGCTGTCACACGGCCCTTGATAGCAACGTAACCAAAAATAACCATTATCAAACATGTAACCAACACATAAATTGCACCTAACCAACAGTCAGTGGGAATGCTGCAAAAAGTGATGCTCTGTTGGCAGCAGCTAGCGGCCCCCTATTCGTGTCGCCTCCTCACGCACCAGACTCTCCTCTGGCACCACCGCCTTGGTCACCCCTCCCTGCCACGCCCCCGTGGTATGCACTCCCGCCTCCTTGTCTCTGGTCTTCCCAGGTCTCTGCCTCCCCTCCCGCCCTCGCATGCCTCGCCCTGCCTTCCTTGCATCGAGGGGCGGCAGCGCGCCGCTCCTCACTCCTCCTTGTTTCCGCCGACGACTACTCCCCTGCAGACTCTCCACATGGACGTGTGGGGCCCAGCTTGCATCCGTGGACAGGACCGCGAGCGATACTTTCTGCTGGTTGTTGACGACTACTCGCGTTACACCACGGTCTTCCCCTTGCACAGCAAGGTGGAGGTTTTTTTTGTCTTGATCCTTTGGATCCGCGCTGTCCGTCTCGAGCTCCGCAAGCGGTTCCGCCAGGACCTTTCTGTCCTGCGTCTGCACTCTGACAGAGGTGGTGAGTTCTCCTCAAAATGACCTTCTGCGGGACTTTTATCATGAAGAGGGCATCCTATAGTCGTTCATGCTTCCGGCCTCCCCACAGCAGAATGGGATTGCTGAGCGCCGCATTGGCTTAGTCATGGATGTCGCTCGTACCTCCATGATCCATGCAGCTGCTCCCCATTTTCTGTGGCCGTTTGAGGTTTGGTACGCTGCACAGCAGCTCAACCTCTGGCCCCGTGTCTCCTTGCCGAAGACCTCGCCTACACTACGTTGGACGGGGGAGGTTAACGATGCATCGGTGTTGCGGGTCTGGGGCTCTCATGCCTTTGTTCGCGATAACACCGTAAACAAGCTGTCCTCCCGCGCCATTCCCTGTGTCTTCTTTGGATTTCCCATTGACGCCCTTGGCTGGCAGTTTTACCACCCCACCACGCGCCGTGTCCTTTCCTCTCAGGAAATCACGTTTGACGAGTCGGTTCCCTTTTAGCGTTTCTTCCCCTACCGCACTGCCCCTCTCCCCCCCACCCGTCGCTCTTCCTCGCTCCAGGTCCCCCTCCGGTAGACCCCCTCCCCCCTCAGGGTCTTGCTCCTTCAGGTGTGTCTCAGGTAGACCCACTCCCCTTGGCTGAGCCTTTCGAGGTCACTTCCGACACCTCTGACTTGAGAAGGGTGACGTTGCTGCTGACGATGCGGCGGCCCCCCGCCGCTCACCACGCTTGGAGACCCCTCCGGGTTTTCCACCTCGACCGTCTTCGCCGCCTCTGCAGCCGGTTGCTGTCGACTCTGGTGCTATTGGGAGTGGTGCTACTAGGGGTGCTGCATCTGGGGGTTCTGACCCTGAAGGTGCGGAGCCTGGGGGTGCTGAGCCTGAGAGTGCGGAGCCTGGGGGTGCTGAGCCTGAGGGTGCAGAGCCTGGGGGTGCTGAGCCTGGGGGTACTGAGTCTGCTGGAGGTCCTACGAGTGCCTCGGCACAGTGGTCTTGCCGGCGTGAGCCTGTCTCACCACAGCAGTTGCGCGAGTGGTTTGCTCGGCGCACCCACCTTCGAAGTGGCGCTGCTAGAGCTGGAGGCCCTGTCGCCGTTGGCATTGACGCTAGAGGCGCTGGAGCTCGAGGTGCTGGAGCTGGCGGCCTTGGAGCTGGAGGCCCTGGAGCTGGAGGCGCTAGAGCTGGAGACCCTGGAGCTGGAGGCGCTGGTGCTAGAGGCCATGGAGCTGGAGGTGCTGGCGCTGGAGGCGCTGGAGCTGGAGGTACTGGTGCTGGAGGCACTGTGCAGCAGCGAACGTATTTATTGCCGCCACCGCAGCGGTCACTGCTTCCGCCTGCCTCGGCGCTCCGTCAGGTTCTTTGTCTTCCTTCGTCCACTGCCCTTCCTCCTCTGTAATAGTGCCATCCTCCTAATCTATCGTAAGCACTGTTACAGCCAGACTCACCGCTGCCTGCCCCCCCTCGTTACACTGAGCAGCCAGCCTCCCTTACATAGCACTGTGAGCCTGCGTCTCGTCCTGTCACCCCTGCTCGCACTTGCCGTCGTGTCCCTTGTGCCAGGTACTTACACTATGGCACTTCGACCTTCCTCTGTTCCACTGCGATTTCCCCCGCCGTCTCCTCCGGCGTCCTCTCTTCCTAACGTACCGGATCCTAAGTCTGACTTGATTCATGCTGCAAGCCCTACTATAACATGTCCTATAATCCACTACTGTGTCTACTTTAGTTGCTAAGCTTGTTGAATTTGCTGCTGCTTGTCGTCTCGACTACGCCACTAGTCTTGTTGCTGAGTCTGAGTCTGACTGTCCTCCGTCCATCGGGGGTGAGTGTGCTCTTGGCACGGACGTCCTTGAGGACAGATAGGAGGACTTTGAGTGTCTTGCAACTGCAGCATTTCATCTCATGGCCATGCTGCTTGCACCTGAGGGAGACCTGGA